GAGAGAGAGTGAGCATGAGATGGGGGGAGGGTCAAAGGGAGAAGCAGACTCCCCGCTGAGCGGGGAGTCCGATGTGGGACTCGATCCTGGGACTCCAGGATCATGACCTGAGCCGAAGGCAGTCGCTTAACCAACTGAGCCACCCAGGCGCCCCTTTATAGCAATATTTTAAATATAATTTTAAGATCCACTGGTTAGTTAGTAACTTAAATAGTTTATATTAAAATAACACCATGGAAGTGCAATGTTTCTCTTAAAATATTTTCAAACAAATTGGATATCTACTCTTCAGAACTTTTTTTTTTTTACCATCATCTTTAGTAGGAATAGTTTTCAGGGTGGTTGTGTAGACTGCTGTGAATAAGAGATTTTGCTGGGAATATATAGAGATGCCATAAAAAAGAATTACAATTACTTTCATATAGAAACTTTAATGTTTTTTGTAATTATTACACAACCAACAAAAAGAAATTTCTTTTTTAAAAATTGTCTATCTTATGCCTTCCATCTCCATTAAGGATTGAAATGGTATACACATGACCTTTTTACTATTAAAGTAATTTAATCTTGAGTGAAAATTCTGCTCTAGAAATAGCATGATAATGCATATATGTTTCAGTGTTATCTGTAAAGCTCAGTATTTATTGGGAATTTTAGATCTTATAGGATTATAATTTTGAAAAGATATGATAGCATAGCATTTGGAAAATATCTCAACATTTAGGTATTTCAAAATTAAAATTCATCAAGTATAATTATATGCTAAAGATAAATATGTAATTGCTTTATTGATTCAAGTACTTATTTATCAATTATTTATTAAGTACCCATAGAATAATGCACTAGGCATTATTTTAAGCAGTGGTAAAACAAAGTTTATTTAAAGATTATATTCTAAAGGGTTGGAGAAGACAGACAGTACATTTTAAATCCCATTATATAATGTGTCAGGTGATCATAAGTGTTATGATAGAAAAGGAACCAGAATAAAGGGAACAGAAATTGGGAAGAAACAATCTACTGATCAAGGAAGTCCTCTGACATTCCAGCAGAGACCTGCACAAAGTTAGGGAGATCTGTGCAAGCACCCAAGAGGGAGAGTATCCTAGGAAGAGAGAACAGTTAGGGAAAGAGTCTGGGAATATTATATTGAACATAGCAAACAAAAATCCCCGTGCCCATAGACTTTAAATTCTATGTGTGGGAGACACAATAGATAAGAAAAATAAACAATAGTTTGTTGGAAAATAAGTACCACAGAAAAAAAGTTAATTAGGGAAGGGAGATAAGGAATGTATAAGGGATAATTAGGTTGCACTTTTTGGTAAGATGCCCACTGAAGATCTTTCTATGAAGGTGACACTAAAATAGAGACCTAAAGGGGGTTTAGGTAACAGCTATGATTCTGTCTGGGGAGTGCGGGGTAGGGGATGTTCTACTTGGAGGAAGCAGCAAATACAAAGGCCTTGAGGCAGGACAACACTAGGTATATTTTGTTTGGTTAAAAGCAAGGAAGCCATTGTGCTATAATGGAGGGAAGGAAGATAAATATAGTAGAAGATGGCATCAAAGAGGCAACAAAATCAAGATAAGTCTAGGGCCTGTGTGCCATTGTAAGTGGTTTGAATTTTCCTCTGAGTAATATAAAAAGCCAGTTAGGTCAGATGTTCTAACTTCATTTTAAAAGAACCAATTCTGGCTGCTGTGCTGAGAATAGACTTAAAGAGAGCAAAAGCAGAAGTAGGGAGACCAGTAGGGTGATATCACAACAGTGAAAGTGAGAGATGCCCATGAAAGCTATAAAGAAGGTTAGATGTTGTTGGATTCTGGATATATTATGAAATAGTATCAATAGGATTTGCTCAGGAATTGTATGTGGGATGTGAGAGACATATTGGAATCAAACATGATTTTTGCATTTTATCTTAAACCTGAAAAAAATGGAATGATCACTTACTCTTATTGGAAATATATATGGCAATAACAGGTTGGCAGGTGGGAATGGGAGTTCCATTAGGATATGTTATGTTTCAATGCCTGTTAGACACCCAAATGGAAATGTCAAGTAAATTGTGTGTGTGTGTGTGTGTGTGTGCATGTGTTGCTATTCAAGGGAGGTGTCCAGGAAGGAATAAATTTGATAATTCTTCAGTGTAAACATTGTTTTTTAAATATAGGAGGTTATATATAAAATGACCTTGGGAATGGTGTGGATTGAGAAGTGAAAGGGTCCAAGGACTAAGCTGAGACCCTGAAATGTTTAGATATTGGAAATAGGAGGAATAAGCTAATGGAAGTGAAGAAGAGGACACAGTGAAAAATTCAAGCAAAAAACTCATTTTCTGAAGAAGGATGTGAAGAATTCTATCCAATACTGATTACAGGTCAAGTACATGAGAACTGAGGAATTGATCAATAAATTTAACAGCGTGAAGGTCATTCGTTTCCTTCACAGTAGCATTTGGTCAGTGGTAGGAAGACAGACAGATCTGAGAAGCTTTTGAGAGAATGGGAGTTGTTGGCAGTATTTGTTTGTTTGTTTGTTTGTTTGTTTGTTTGTTTTACGGGGGGGGCAAAAATGGTTGGTACCTGGAGGGAAAAGGGGTCAAAGAGATATTTTTTTTTCCTTTTGTTCTTTTAAACTTTGGAGAAATGCCAATATTTTGAATGCTACTGATGATGCAGAAAGGAGAGGTAGGCCTTTGATTAGATCAGAGACAGTTCATTTATTGATAGGATAATCAGGGGCAGTGTAGATATAGATAAGTTGATAACTATTGTGGTAGTGTTACAGGTTGACTTCCCTCGGAAACTGGCTCAGTGATTGGAATTTAGTGTAGATGATGGTTATTAAGGAGTGCCCTTTGAATTCATCCACTGGAAGGGAGGAGGAAGGAGCAGATTTGAGAAGGAGAAGGAGCTGTGATGTAGGTTTAACAGTAATCTCAGCTGACACCAAGGAGGATCTTTAAAGCTAGAATGACTTTTTAGGGTTGTCTGAAGTTGGACCAAGGTAATCAGATCATTATATTCGTTCATTGAGCAGTTGTTGGCTGTGTGCTACTCAAGGAAGGGATATAACCTTGGTTGAGCTGATTCTCTGTAGCAAAGGCAGCCCCTGAAGGTGCTGAGAGCTGAAAACTGTCAATAGGACCCCCAACCATTGGGACAAGTCCTTCATTAAAGGGGAATCTAGGACATACATTGCAGTTTGCCCCTAGGAGAAATATATATGTGATTTTTTTTATTACATCTGTTTTCTCCAGGAAGTAAGAAGGAAGAAGCGGGGGAAAGGGCAGGAGGTTGTTTTGAAAGAGAGATGTAAAAGTATTGTCTAGAGGTTGGAGAGAACGGAATCCATAAATGTGCTGGGATTAGAGGTAGCACAAAGGGTCTGCCTGAGGTTCATGGATGAATTTAGAGCAAAATTAGTCATCATTGTTGTTGTTTTTCTCCATTCACATTCCCTTGCCAAGAGTACAATAGGTAGATAGTTTAATTTAACCTAGGTTGAAGTTGTGCTAGGGAAATAAAAAGGAAGGAGAGAGGGGTAAGGAGTCATGGTTGTAAGGAAGGAAGTATCAATCTAATAAAATATTATAAAATGTAAAATAGCTGAAAACAATAGTTAGGTCCAAAAGCTTGAAAGACAATCAAAAGATGTATGAGTTTTAGGAATTAATGTACTAAATGACTTGCTGGTTTTACTAAATGACACCTTCCCCCTATCTTTAACGGTCTATAATACTCAAAATCTCTGTCCATGTTCTATTTATTATTATTATTATTATTATTATTATTTACTTTCCAATGCCAGTCTTATAATCTCCTGAGACTTTTAATAAATTAAGACTTATCTGAGTTGGGAAAAATATTTGAACTTAGAAGTAAACAAATAGAAATTATTTATTTCTTAACTATGGAGAACAAACTGTTAGATACCAGAGGGGAGGTGAGTGGGGGGGGATGGGTGAAATGGGTGAAGGGAATTAAGAGTACATTTATCTTGATGAGTCCTAAGTAATGTATAGAATTGTTGAATATCTATATTGTACACCTCAAACTAATATAACACCCTATGTTAATTACACTGGGATTAATTTTTTAAATAAAAAAATAATAAAGGAAGAAGCAGTACTTAAGTGGAAAAAAAAGAATTATTAATATAATTGCTAATCCAGAGTGTAGAAAGTTAAGTCAAATGTATAGAACCTTTGCCAGGGTTCACAGACTATCATCACACTAGTCAAACAAATTTATATACAACTTTAGCATTTGAGATTATTTCACTATATATTATTCACAGTCGAGGTAGCTTTTGGTAACATACATCAAGATATCAAAGAAAAGACCTAAGATCAAAAACATTTTTATCACACTCTGGATAATTGATCTTTTTACAAAAGCAATTACAATTTACTGCTTTACTTATAATGGAGTTTAAATTGTCTCTTTCAAGGCAAACATACACTCATATAATTTGGTTTCCTCTTAATCAATGAAACCTTTGGCTGGATGATTCATATCTGATAATATTCAAAGTGAAAATGATATGCCACAGCAAGAGATTAGTCGTCTGACCCATTAAATATAAAAAGGAAAAATGGGAATGAAGAAAGTTTCATTGTAACTTGTCATTATCTCATAGATTTACCTCACCACATGTCTAGCTGTACCTTAATTCAATTCTTATCTTCATGTAATAAATCGGAATATATTTTTGAGATACCCCTAATTAACTCAACTGATACTTTCAAAAGACTAATTTTAGGGGCACCTGGGTGGCTCAGTCAGGTAAGGGTCTGCCTTCAGCTCAGGTCACAATCCCAGGGTTCTGGGATCAAGCCCCGCATTGGGCTCCCTGCTCAATGCAGAACCTGCTTTTCCTTCTTCCTCTGCTGCTCCCCCTGCTTGTGCTCTCTCTCTCTGTCAAATAAATAAATACAATCTTTAAGAAAAAGACTAATTTTATTGAATAATTAATGCTTTTAAAAGGTGATATGATGTCACAATCACTGATGGCTTATAACAATTATTTTGAAGAATTGCAGATTACTTCATGTGGTGTAATAGGTAAATATTTAAAGAAATAATCACATCAATTGAAACATTCTAAATTAAGAATATTGGAATAACTCTAGATTAGAAACATGCTAGTTCCAAAAATGAATTTGTCATCTTGACGTTTCAAATCCTTGGCTGTGAGTTTTTATTCCTGTTACTTAACCTTAGTGAATGCCAATGTCCTCATCAATAAGTGGGATAATAAGCCCTTGCCTTCTGTGCTTACATATTGATCACAGGCTTATGAGCTCACCCTTAACCAAAAGAACACCACAAAGCTTCACGTTTCTATGAGTTTCAGTCGAGGTATCATTCAATAATCAAATTTTTATCTTAAAAACTATTATTATTAAGAATCCTATCTGTTGTAGTGTCTTAGGAAAGTTTTACATGCAAATGGCTAGGTATTGAAAAATGCTTATTTAATTCTCATTCAAAATAAATGTAAGAATTACTTTTTCCATTCTTCACTAATTGTTTTTCATATATATGTCTTTCATCTGTCAGAAAATGATTTTTATAAGAGATCCTTATGAGGATTATTTCTAAAGTCCTAAAATCAACTTGGCCTAACTTCCAAATGTTGAATTGCTTTTGTACTAATACATTTTATTAAACAATCACAGTGATTTTGATTTGCCAACTCACTACTTATTAACTGTGCGACCATAGTCAAGCTTTTATTTGCTCTTCACATATGTTTAGTAATTTTTAAAATGGAGAAATTCATATTTAATCTCTAAGATGCCTAGCATAGAGTATGTACGCTAGTAGGTAGTGTGATTATAATTTCTTTTCCCCTTTTTCATTGTTTTAGAATGTCAAAGATAGTTTCTGCATGAGGTCTGGCCAATTTTTATTATAGGATATTTATATGAGACACAAAAATCTGACAATGATCTGAATAATCCTAATGATAACAGAAACAATAGTAGCAATAAGAAACAAAAGTGATGAAAGAAGACGTCAATACGCAATCACTTTGCAAATGATGCAACAAAAACAAAGTTAATATTAGAAAATCTTTCAGTCATTTTTATAGAAATCACAGAAGTTAAAGTTATGAGGCCCCGCAGAGTACCTATCTTAGTTCTTCAATATTATAATTTTACATAAGAATCTGATACCCTAATGTTGGTAATTAATAAAATTCAAGTCTCTGACATCTAGTCTAAAGTGTTTTACCTTTTTCAATTGTTTTAGTTTTTTTATAAGATCAAACTCAATTTTATGAAGTTTAGAACTCATAGTTATTTCACAAAACCTTTAGTGTTAGAGAATTAATTGAGAATACCTAAAGCAAGGACAGTCTAAAGCTTACTAGCACCACCTACAGGATGAATGTATAACCAAGTGCAATTTATTTTATTTTAAAGATTTATTTATTTATTTGAGAGAGAGAGAGAGAGAGCAGGGGGTTAGGGGAGAGAGAGAGAGGGAGAGAGAATCCCAACCAGGCCGGGTGCGGAGCTTGACGCAGGGCTTGATCCCACAACCCTGAGATCAGGACCTGAGTCAAAATCCAGAGTCAGACATTCAACCAACTGAGCCACCCAGGCATCCCTACCCAAGTGCAATTTAAAATAAACACTCTGATTCCCATTCCTTGTTCTAAACACACAACTCTCATACACCAAACATTGTGACTTACTCAGAACAGATTTAAGACTAGGAAATTAAAACCCAGAAGGAAGATGAACCTCAACACTTTATTCCTAATTGTATAAGATTTATCTTGTTGAATGGTGTTGGGAAAATTGGACAGCCACATGCAGAAGAATGGAACTGAACCATTTTCTTATACCATGCACAAAAATAAACTCAAAATGGATTAAAGACCTCAGTGTAAGACAGGAATTCATCAAAATCCTAGAGGAGAACATAGGCAGAAACCTCTTTGACCTCAGCCACAACTTCTTGCTAGGCACATCTCCAAAGCAAGGGAAACAAAAGCAAAAATGAAGTATTGGGACTTCACCAAAATAAAAAGCTTTTACAGAGCAAAAGAAACAATTGACAAAACCAAAAGACAACCGCCAGAATGGGAGAAGATATTTGCAAATGTCCTATTAGATAAAGGGTTAGTATCCAAGATCTATAAAGAGCTTATAAAACTCAACATCCAAAAAACAAATAATCCAGTCAAGAAATGGACAGAAGACATGAACAGATATTTCTCCAAAGAAGACATACGAATGGCCAACAGACACATGAAAAAATGCTCAACATCACTCGGCATAAGGAAAATACAAATCAAAACCACAATGAGATACCACCTCACACCAGTCAGAACGGCTAAAATAAATAAGTCAGGAAACAACAAATGTTGGTGAGGATGCGGAGAAAGGGGAACCCTCTTACATTGTTGGTGGGAATGCAAACTGGTACAGCCACTCTGGAAAACAGTATGGAGGTTCTTCAAAAAGTTAAAAATAGACCTACCCTATGACCCAGCAATTGAACTACTGGCTATTTATCCAAAGAATATAAACATAGTGATTCAAAGGGGCACATGCACCCCAATGTTTATGGCAACAATATCCATAATAGCCAAATTACGGAAAGAGCCCAGATGTCCATCGACAGAGGAATGGATAAAGATGTGATGTATATATACACAATGGAATATTACTCAGCCATCAAAAAATGAAATCTTGCCATTTGCAATGACATGGATGGAACTAGGGGGTATTATGCTAAGTGAAATAAGTCTTTCAGAGAAAGACAATTATCATATGATTTCACTCATATGTGAAATTTAAGAAACAAACAAATGAACATAGGGGTAGGGAGGGAAAAATAAAATAAGATTAAATCAGAGGGGGAGACAAACCATAGGAGATTCTTGACCATTGGAAACAAACTGAGGGTTGCTGGAGGGGAGGTGGGTAGGGGGAAGGGATAACTGGGTGATGGGCATTAAGGAGGGCACATGATGTAATGAGCACTGGGTGTTATATGTAACTGATTAATCACTGAACTCTACCTCTGACACAAATAATACACTATATGTTAATTAATTGATTTTAAATAAAATTTTTAAAAAAAGATTTATCCTGTTGCCTTGATCCTTTTCCCTCATTTCTCCCTAGTAAGTAACCAATCTATTATACTTAACCTAAGATCATAAGATCAGTGTCCTGAACCCCTTAATGTACTTTCTTTCTCTAACACTTTCAAATAATTCACCTGTCTAGGCAATGGTTTTTGAAATGTTTTCATGTGTACGTATGTGTGCATGTGTACTATACCTACTTAAGGTGTCTTAATGGGTGAAAAACTTTCCTAATTTGTTTGCAAATTTGTTCAACCCACTATACCACCCAGTGTGATCTTTATGAAGTCTTTCAGGAGAAATCCTTCTATAGAGCTTACAATCTATTAACATTATTCTTACACTGAGTTACTGGAAAATTTTTATCTTGCCGTAACCATGAATGCTAAGACTGGAAATATATCCATCTTTATTTTGGCCCTTTAAGTTTAAAGTAAAATTAATGGCCAACTTCTAATAATTTATAAAAGCATATGACATATATTCTTAAGTGTTAATCTTAACCTACAGGATTCATACCATACCCATTTTATCTTCACCTGGAATCTGTAAACCACTTATTTGATCTTTTTGTATTATATACAAATGTATTTTAAGCTGTTTCAAATCCTTTGCGGAATAATGCAAGGAAGAAAGGGGGAGAAGGAAAGTGGAAAGGTAGGCCGGTGGAGGAAGGAAGGAGAGAAAGGAAGGAAAAAATTCAAATTGTATGTGTGTGTGTGTATGTGTAGCTCACATTTAGGAGAATATCATGAAATGCTACATGGTTACTCATAAGAATGGCTGTGACAAGCTGAAGCTGTGATAGTTTGGGCTCATACATCTATTTGGTGGCACAGATTCCTCTCAGCTGGGTCTATGGAAAGTTGGCCCAAGTAGATATAAATTCATACATCTATATCCTTCCTTTGCATCTTTTCTGTAACCCTAGTACCTAACATTGTGTTCAGTGTGTGGTTTGCACTGAAGAAATATTTATTAAATAAATGGATGAAATTATTTATCTTACATTTGTTGAAAATGCTTCAAATCACACATCCTAAATCTACATTCTGTCATGTGAGGTTCTCAAACACATTATTTATTATATACCATTTTTTTTCTTTGCATGGTTCATTGAGGATGAATATTTCTGTAAGCTGCAGTTCTAGTTAAAGTTCCACTATCAAACTCTGCATGAACTTCTGAACTTGGAAAAGAGTTAGAGAAAAGACAAGGCCTAGACCCCTGTGATTCTTGATCACAAAATTTTTCCTCTAGTCCATTACTTGTCTATTTGTCCACGTGCTATTTTATAAGTTCAGAAAGAGGTTTATTTCAGTTCAAGACTTTAACCTGAATTTTGGAGTCCTTGTACTAAGATTTTAATTTTTACTCATTTTCCCTTACAAATCAAAAATAGATCATATCAACATGTACTTTTTACATGTGTCAATAAAATAATCAAAGCTCCATCCATAAATGTTCTTGTTTTTTATCTCGATATATACAATGTATAAGCTATTAAAATAATGTAATAAAGCACTCAAACTAAGTTCTCTGATAAGTTCCTCCAAAGAAAGTAACTGCTTTCATTCACAATGAGATAAAAATAACCAGCTGTATTTTCACTAAGACTATTCTGCCTAATTGCCATCCCCACTCTAACCAAGAATTTTTTTCACATAAATCATTCTGCCACAGATAACCAAAATCTTGCCTAACACAAGGACCATTTTTACATTATAGATAATATTTCACTTGTTTTTTTTTTCCTTAGGAGAAAGGATTTAAATGAGAAAAGTACACTCTCCATAAAAATTCCGTCTCCTTTTTAGTATTTCCCTATATGTTTTATGAAAGAAAGAAATGTATTCACAATTGAAAAAATCCATTTATCTTTCTACTGCTATATTTCCTAGGAAATAATGACACAGAAAATTCCATGAGGAAATGTTGAATTGTACCTGTATTAACAGCTGATACCCAATAAAGCAATTACAACTTAGTGTTATCTTTCAGGTCATTGTGATCTCAAAACACAATTTGGGTCATAATTATTCTATAATTTTCTTTTCTTTTTCATGTCTAGTTTCTAGGCCATGCCTATACTTCAGTTTCTCAGATATAGAAATTAATTTAGAACTGTTCTTTATTAAAATATTCTGTTTACTATAATAGGTTGATTTAAAATGTCAAAATAGGCATAACATAAACTTGTAGTAAATGTATTGGAAGATATATATATTTTTTTCAAAAACCATTTAAGAAATTCAGTTATAGGGGTGCCTGGGTGGCTCATTCGTTAAGCGTCTGCCTTTGGCTCAGGTCATGATCCCAGAGTCCTGGGATCGAGCCCCGCATTAGGCTCCCTGCTCAGCGGGAAGTCTGCTTCTCCCTCTCCCACTCCCCCTGCTTGTGTTCCTGCTCTCTCTCTCTCTCTCTCTCTGAGAAATAAATAAATAAAATCTTTAAAAAAAAGAAATTCAGTTATAATACATTGATATCCAAATAGTCTTCCAGAGTTTATAAATTCAGTGAGGATGAAAAAAGGAAAGTAAAACCATGCCTAAAGAGGCATTACAACCTTAATGCAATCACTGCTTCACTGTGTTGTTCCTGTGTCCAAGAGTAGAGTCAAAGGAAGTCAAATTAGAAATCTTGCCATGCTCGTTTTCATATTAAGATCTTTTATTGGAAAAAGACAGCTTCTATCCCTAAGAATCAATGCATAGGAATTTAAAGCCATGAATCACACATATTTGAAAATGAGTAAACTTGATTTTTACCAGAAGTTAGTGTGTATGTTTTCAAACCACCATAAAAAAAAAAAAAAAAGAAAAAAAGAAAAGAAAGAATTAGGACAATTCTTTCTAATCTATCCAGTTTGTAAAATGCTTAACTATTGACAATGAAGCACAGATATATATATTTTTAATTTTATTTATTTATTCATGAGAGACAGAGAGAGAGAGAGAGAGAAGCAGAGGCAGAGGGAGAAGCAGGCTGCTTCTGCAGGGAGCCTGATGCTGGACTCGATCCCAGGACCCTGGGTTTATGACCTGAGCTGAAGGCAGATGCTTCACCAACTGAGCCACTTAGGCATCCCTGAAACATAGAATTATGTGTAAAATTATAAACACTTCCATCAATAATGAATACTTTTTTTATTTATTTGGCATTATGCCTTCATGGTTTAGTAGTTCCTCATGATTTTGAATGTGTTTAAAAAGATTTGATTGTATATTCAGTAAATCAGTAAATTGTTGCATAAATCTCAAAAAAAGTATAAGATTCCTCTTAGGATATTAAATTTAGTGATTTATCTCCATATAATTTCGGTATATTTTCTTGACTGCTTACTCTCATCATTTGTCAGATTAACAAACATTAAATTTGAGAGTCTACATTGTATTACTGTGAGTAATTAGAAGTTTCAAAAAAAACCTCCTTTACAGTTGGTGAATAATGGAGGGAAAGGCAGAACATTTTCAAGAAGTATTTTTCACCATGGGAACATGATTTTACAGACTGAGAATTCTGGGACATTGTTTATTTTTATAAATATTGAAATCCTGCCATTCCCAGGAAACTATTCTAAAAATCATATCTTTGATCAACTTAGCCCAAGAAGGGGGAAAAGGCCATATATACTGAACTATGAATAGATTAATAAACAGTAATAGAAATACAAATAATGTACTTCATTTTTTAGGTAACTTTATTTTTAGGAAAGTATTTTCAAATTGTGCAAATGCAACATAATTTAAGAGAAGGGAGTTGAACCCCAATCAATGTTGTAATTCTTCATACATATAGTTGAGTATTTTGATAACTACGATAGTTCTAGAGTAATGAAAATGGATGTGTATAATTAATTTGTACAAGTCATTCCAGGCTTCTATAAAATGAAAATAACATGACTTTTTCACTCACATTTATAGAAAAAGAATACTTTATATCCTCATTATATTCTGCTAGAGCACACAAGTCTCTCTAATTTAGAAAATTCATGCTTGGTTTTACACACCATTCCTAGCATGACACAATGAGGCACCAAGTTGGACACAAGACACCCCTAACCACTTCTATTTCTCTTCTCACTATGCATGATTTGGTTTTATTAGTATTAGAAAAATCAATATGTAAAAATTTTATATAGAAATAAAAGGACTATTTAATGTGTTATAAATGCATTGTCTATTTTCTTCCTATACTGGCAACTTGTATGCACTATAAATAGAAATAGTGTGTAGTGCATACAATCTGAAAATTGTGGTATTTAAAATTGTATGGTATAGATTTATTTTTAAGGCCCTGATATCACTGCCTAACAAACAAAAATAAACTTTGCGTAATGAGAGAAAAGTAGGTACAAGTTATAAAAGTAGAAATTTTTTAAGCTTTTTTTTTTGCCTTGCATCTAAATGCTGTGTTATATTGACAGATCTGGGAAATTTTAGTGGCCGGACAAGAAGTGCAGTCTCTGTGAGGGAAGGCCAGGGGGTTGTTCTGATGTGCTCTCCTCCGCCTCATTCTCCAGGTACAGTAGGATCCCATTCTACATTGCTGCTGATCTCTTTTACTATATGCTCATTCTTTTAGACAGGGTTATTGACTAAGAAACATTTCAGGTGAAATGTGCATGGTTTTTTTTTTTGAAATGTACCAGAGTACCAGCTTAGTAATTAAAGATCATATACTCTAACTACCACTGGACAGAAGACTGCACTCCTATGATAAGATTGTTTTATTGCCATTCTAACTGTTGATTGTTGTGGTTATGTCTCTGCCTGCCACCAGTGAGGAATACATTGCCTGAAGCACAAGGAATGCGATAAGCTGAGAGAGTAAAGACTTTTCAAAATTATTTGGAGTGTCAGAGTTAACTGAATAACAATGTGCATTTTGTTTCAGAGATAAGCTTGAAACTGGGTTGTTTATGGTGTTGTTTGTCACAATGGAAAAAAACTGCTAAGAAATATTTTTTTGACTTTCAAACAAAACTATAATTTACATATTACTTTTTGGCCACTTGAGCTCTTATTTGTAAAAGTCAGGGTACTAAGTTAGTACTTCATGGGGTTGGAGGAACAGAATAGTAAACTGTGCTCAGATTAATTATATTCCCTTTGCCAACCCAGCTAATTATACTTTTTTTTTAGTTCTATAATTTGAGATGAGTACCTCTTTGTATCTCAGTTAGTTTTCCTATAATACAATTTAAGAGCAGCCAGTATCAATTAGAGAGAGAGAATCAAATGTCTATCTGAGAAATAACAAAGACCTTAGCGTTAACAGGAAACTGAATTCAGTCCTGGCATCTCAATCAATTTTTCTTCTTTGTTTAGTGTGAAAATCATACTTGTTTCTAGGTTGTAATTATCGGTGTAGTAATGGGGCCCAACTTTGTTCTACCATGGCTAATTCTTATCATAAATTACAATAGGACCTCAATCAATTTTCTTAAAATTTCTCATCTTTATCTGACCGCCTTGCTAATTTTTTTAATTGAGGGAAAAGAAAATTATGTTTCAATAAGAAAATATTTTCAAAAAAACATTTTGCTTTGAAACTCAGATAATAATTACTATCAGGAACCAATTTTTGAGTTTCCCCCCATCTAATTCTTATTAATCAATTCAGTCTACTCCTTCTGTGAGTAGCTTGGGGACTTTTACAGTAAACATACTTAGTCTTACCTGCTTGTGATTCTAGGCTTAGATTCTTTCAAGGAAACATGTGTTGTAACTTTTTTTCTATGGATAAGACAAAAAATTTTAGTAGGTTTAAGAGAATCCTATAGCATCAATATATGCTATGTCTAATGTTGGGTTAGTAGACTTAGTTTAAGGAACAATATTAGATGAATAATTGTTGAAGATGAAAGAGAAGAAGGAAGAGGAGGAGAACAAAGGAATCTGCTCTTTATAGAGCAGATGAAAGTGTTCACCAACAGACTTACAGGAGTTAACATGAAAGCAAGATTTTTTGAAACATAACCTATATCGCAAGGCTGTTAGAACATGTGCAGAAAAGGGAAATGTGAGAGAATGATACAGGAAGCAAAACTGCGAGATTACACAAAGACAAATTATCCAATTGCCAAAGAAAACTACAGAGATTTCTAATGGGGAAAAATAGTAATAATGAATTGCATACATGATAAGCAAGAGATAAGAATATGTATTAATAATTGGTGAAATAAAAATGTGATATCTGACTGACATCAATAAGAGTAATACCAGATGGTAGCTATTGTGTATATGTTGTAAGAATATATACACCTGGGGCACCTGGCTGGCTCACTTCGTGGAACATGTGACTCTTAATCTCAGGATCTTGAATTTGAGCCCCACGCTGGGTGTAGAGATTACTTAATAAATAAAAATATATATATATATTAGACTGATTGTATACCTTAATATGGTAGGAGAGGTTGTATTCTACTAGGTACTCATTTTGGGGTTTCATGTCAAATGATCCACTCAAACATCAGTGTTAGCACCACAGAATTTTAGGGGATACGTGCATAGCCCAAAATAACAGGAGTAACTCAGCATCCAGACCTTAACACTTACCAGATGAGTAGTTTTCTCCTGATCAGTCAAATCCTATCTTTAAGGTTCTTTGCTGAACATCCCTTTTATATTCTTGCTTCAGCTGAAATTTGCATATACCCTGAAGATATGGCTTCCATACAGTCCTTTAAAGTCATGGCTATTTATTCTCCTAATTTGTATGTACCATTCAGAGTAAGATTGGAACAAATATCCTCCTTTCTCCTCATCACCCATTCTCCCTTCCTCCTTACAAACCCTCAGTTTTAAATTTCAAGCCATTAGACTGTACACTTTCTTGTTGCGGTCATTTACACTCTCCCAGTTCATTATCTTAATTTCCTGAGATTTTACCACCTGGGTCACTGTCAGTTTCTTCAATACTGCTCCAGTCTTAATATTTGGTAATTTCAGCAGAGGTCTTACAACATCCTGTCCTCTTCATTCCTTTTATTTCTCCATTGCGATGCTCTTATTTTACAACCATCCATGGCCACTTGATCTGTTATTACAAACAGCTACAATCTCTCAATTACCACACTTCTTATTAGCATCTACTACCTTCTGCTTGTTCCTTCCAATACCCTGATTCTAGGAATCCTTTAACGTCATTGAAATCTACAAATCATTGATCCTAGTTCCTTCTCACTCTTGCATAGAGCTTCAATTTTCTCATCCCTCTTATGCTTCATCCCACTGACTCAACAGTTGGCAAAACCTTAATCCTAATGTAGATCCAACTTGCAGCCTACTACATGCCCAAACCTACTCAATTTAATATGACTGTAAAAGAAAAGAACCAGAGAGAGTTATGCAGACTGATGTGAGTTTAAAAACCAAGCTATGAATTTTTTTAAAGATTTTATTTATTTATTTGCTAGAAAGAGAGAGCATAGGCAAGAGAGAGTGAGCAAGAGCACAAGCAGGGGGAGCTGCAGGCAGAGGGAGAAGCAGGCTCCCTGCTCAGCAGGGAGCCTGATGCAGGGCTCGATTCCAGGACCCTGGGATCATGACCTGAGCTGAACGCAGCCGCTTCACCAACTGAGCCACCCAGGCGTCCCCCAAGCTATGAATTTCAAGGACACTTTAATGCAGATCAGAAATTTTAAAAAGAAAAATAACTTTAGTTCTCTTACTGTAATTCTGTCAAATCTGGTATGTCTCCCATCCTTCAGTTTTTCTGCCATCCCCACTCTCAGCTGATAACCATGCATCTAACTTCACTGGGGAAAGGAAGGCAATTAGGAAATAACTTCTACAGCCTTCACCACCAAATGAAACATGCATTAGCATCTGTACTGTTAGATTCTAAACCCCCCCTTTTTTAAAGAGAGAGAGAGAGTACATGTGGGAGACTGGGGGAGAGTCAGAGGGAAAGAGAGAGAATCTTAAGCAGGCTCCACACCTGACTGGGGGAGGGGGGTGCTCCATCTCACAACCCTGAGATCATGACCTGACCTGAAACTAAGAATTGAATGCTTAACCCACTGAGCCACCCAAACACCCCTTTCCTTTTTTAGTATAGATGCATTGTTGTGCTTTTATGGCCAATCCCTTAACTTGTGCACTGTAGTTCATCCTTTTTCTGTCTACTTTAAGAAATTGCTTCAGTGAAGATGATCTGCATCTTCACCAGAGATTGTTTAATCTCTTCTTGATCATTCCCAAAAGCATGCAACTATACTGTCTCTTCCTTCACCTAAAAACAAAGCAAAGCAAAGCTCTCTTGACTCATGTCATCTTTCACCTACTACCTCATTTTTCTGTTCCTTTTCATCACAAAACTCTTCAAAATCTTTGTCTCTCATACTTTATCTAATTCCACTCCTTCGATTCTGTTTCTCTCTCTCTCTCTCTCTCTCTGTCCCTTTTTCTCTTCCTCTGTCTCTCTCTTTCTAAAAAGTAGATTTAGGGGCATCTGGGTGGCTCAGTTGTTAAGCTTCTGCCTTTGGCTCAGGTTGTGATCCCAGGGTCCTGGGATCGAGGCCCACATCAGGCTCTCTGCTCCGTGGGAAGCCTGCTTCTCCCTCTCCCACTCCCCTGGCTTGTGTTCCCTCTCTTGCTGTGTCTCTCTGTCAAATAAATAAATAAAATCTTTAAAAAAATAAAAATAAAAATAAATAAATAAATAGTAGATTTATTAAAGTACAATTTATATCCCAGGAAACTCACCCATTTTAAGTATAGTTCACTGAGTTTTAGTAAATTTCTACAGTTGTGCTACCATTACCAAAATCTAGTGTTACAGCACTTCCATCATTTCACAAAGGTATTGCCACCCAATTTCCCCACTGATCTACTTTTTTAGAAAGCTCATTTTAACTGAATCGAATCATGCAATGTTCAGTCTGTGTGTATATATATATATGTGGTAAGAGAGAGAGTGGGTGTGTGTTTGGTTTCTTTTATTTAGTTTAATGTTTCTAAGTTTCATTCATATTGTGGCATGTATCAGTAGTTTGTTAGTATATATTGCTGAATAGTATCCCATTGTATAGATACACCACTTTCTGTTTATCCATTACTCAGTTGATGGAAATTTGGATTATTTTCAGTCTTCAAATTGTTGGTCACTTCATCCTCCATAAAATACTTTCTTGCTTAGCTTTTAAATACTGACACCTCTGAAACATATATCTCCAACCAGGAATCTGGCTTGTATATCCATTTGCCTATTTGACATTTCTAATCAGAATGGCTAATAGGCATGTCAAGCCTAACCATGTCTAAAATGGCACTTCTGGCTGTATCTTCCCCAAACCTGCTCCACCTGCAGTATTTTCCAACTCAGTCAAAGGCAATTCAATCTCTTACTATCCATCAGGCCTTAGAGTCATTTTTAACTTCTCACTTTCTAAGACACCACATATACACCATCACCAATTTTATTGGCCCTACTCAAAACTTTATCTAAAATCTGACCATTTCTCTCACCCTCTACTGTAGCTTTCTTGAATGAACCACCATCATCTCCTACCTCGAT